GTTTCAGTAACCTTGCTCTTCCTTCCTGACCAGGAGGGAAAGCTCAGTCTTCTTAGAGAACTATGAGAGCCTGTTCCTCTCCCTTTTTATCAGCTGTATCTTACTCACTGTTAATGGTGAGGAGCTGTAATGACTTTCTCCTTTTTTTTTTTTTAAAGATTTTATTTATTTATTAGAGAGAGAGAGAGAGAGCACAAGCAGGGGGAGCGGCAGAGGGAGAGGGAGAAGCTGACTCCCCGCTGAGCAGGGAGCCCCATGCGGGGCTAGATCCCAGGACCCTGGGATCATGACATGAGCCAAAGGCAGGTGCGTAACCAACTAAGCCACCCAGGTGCCCTGCCTTTCTCCTTCTTTGGTTAGGAATTTCCTTCTGTGCCCACCAGATATAGGGACAATAAGAGGCATCATGACAGCTTGCTTTCATTTCACTCATCTCTGGGTTGCTTTCTGTTGAAGATGCACTCATTTAGGGGAGGAGCATTTGCTCCTAGTCTCACTTTTGGAACTAGAAAAATAGTCTAACCCATTCTGTGAGTTTTCCAATCCGTTATAGTTGTATTTTTATTTTCCTAATAGGTGGCTTTTATATTTAAATTAGTAATACTTATATTTGTTTTTGTAATTGTTAGCTTTATTTCCATTCTTAAATGAATCGCTTTCCATTAGTCTTTTCATTTTATGCCATGCATTTTGGTTTCTTAATTTCCTTTTTTTCATTACCTCTCATGCCTTCTCATCTTCTGCTTCTGCATGAACTTTCTGGAATTCCTGACACTTTTGTTCTCTAACTTCAAATACTAAGTTTAAAAATCTGTAAACATTCTTTAATCATAACCTTTTCTTCTTCCACGTTCCTTGGTCTCCTGCAGTTCTACTGGGAGCCTCAGCTGATAGACATCTCCACTTATCCATCACTCTGTACTTGGTTTCTTCCCCCCCCACCCAATCTACTTAGGATTTATGGCCATTCATTTCATTCACTTTTTTTTTTTTTAAAGATTTTATTTATGTTTTAGAGAGAGAGCACGAGAGAGCGAGCACAAGCAAGGGGGCGGGTGGGACAGAGGGAGAGGGAGAAGCAGACTCCCTTATGAGCAGGGAGCCTGACGCAGGGCTCAATCCCAGGGGATTGCAACCTGAGCCGAAGGGAAACACCCAACCGACTGAGCCACCCAGGCACCCTTTACTTACTTTTGCTAATACCCTAATCCAGTGGTTTTCACACTGTTGTCCAGGGATTTCTGGGGTTGATGGTTAAAACCCTGGGAGCAGATTAGGTTACCTGTGAAGAGTTTATGGATTGAGAATAGATTTCTGGCTCAGCCCTGAAATCGTAGAGAAGAGTAATAGTGTGGTGTGTTTTGTTTTGTTTGTTTTAGAAGAATAATGTTTAAAGGCTGGGAGGAAAAGGGAAGCTAGTGATGGAAACTGGGTGAATAATCAGAGAAGGAGGATGATTGCTGAAATAGGAGGGGCTGCTCAGAGATCAGGTGAAATTGTGAGAGTGGAATTCGGCTGCTAGGTCTTGACTGACCACTGCCAGAGCACTTGGAGTTGGTCAGTGGACATGAAGTCAGATCTGTGATTGGAGGAGTGAGTGAGTGGTACCCAGCACAAGTCTGCAAGTGTAGGCTGTACAGGGGAGGAGAGAATAGGGTAGTTGTTAGAATCCTCAAACCTCTGCTTGGTTTACCTGCAGCTTCCCCAGCACCTAAGAGCTAGGCCGTCGTGTTGTAGAGCAGTAGTGGGCCTCCTGCCTGGCTCGGAGGTTCAGCTTGGGCTTGCCTGCAGCTGTGAAGTCCATTTCATCTTGCTGTGGCTCTCACGATTCCCTCATATTCTCCCATCCAAGTACTAACCAGGCCCGACCCTGCTTAGCTTCCGAGATCAGACGAGATCGGGCGCGTTCAGGGTGGTATGGCTGTAGACCCCTCATATTCTCTACTCCATTTACGGTATCCTCCTCCTGTGTGAATTCTGTCTCCATGTGTAACTCTTATTTGAGGAACTTGGCTTCTATTTTACTAAGAAAATAGAAACCATCTAAAGGGAATGTTTTTGTGCTTTTACCACACATCTGCTTACCTAGCTGCAGTGGAACTTGAATATTCTGTCCTCTTCTGCTCCTCCTCCTTCTGACTAGGGATACACTTATTTCTAGCTCCTCACCTTGAACACATTGCTTTAGCACTTCTCCTTTTTCTTTCTTGCATCAATAATTTTTCTCTCTACCTGATTATTATTGCAACTATGTGTAACTTTTCTCATCTTAAAAAAAAAAAAAGCCCTCTTCATAGTTCCCATCACATTTCTTTTGCTTCCCTTTACCATAAAATTACTGGAAAGAACTGTCTATGTACATTTTATTTTCAGTTCTTCTTCTGTCTTAATTTACTTCAGTCAGGGTTTTACGTTCACCGCTTCAGAAAAACAGCTCTGGTCAAGGTCACCAATGACCTCCATGTTGCTAAATTCAGTTGTCAATTCTCAGTGCTCATCTTACTTGGCCTGTCAGCAGCATTTGACACGGCTGATAATTCCCTTTTCCTACATGAACTTTCTTCATTTGACTTTTGGGACATCACAGTCTGTTTGCCTCCTACCTGCTGACTGCTGCTTCTCAGTTAGCTCTTCCTGGTTCCTTCTGTCAAGTTGACTTCTAAATATTTGAGAGCTTCAGGGCTTGGTTCTCAGACTTCTCTGGCTGTACTCACTCCCTGCGTTGGAAATCTCATCTGGTCTCAGGGCTTTAGCTATCTCTCTGCTTATGTCCTCCCTGCTCCTCACCTTAAAAAAAAATTCTAGCCAGGCTCCTTTCCTTGGACTGTACAGATTTTTATATCCAACAGCTCATCCACCCTCTCCACCTGAGTGAATAATAAGTATTTCACATTCAGCAGTGTAAACTGTACTTTTTATTTCCAGCACAAAATAACTTTACTCATAATCTTTCCTGACTCAGGAAATGGCCACTCTCTCTTTCCAATTTCTTAGGCCAAGCCTTATGCCTGCAAGCCCTGTCAAGTCTGTTTTCAAAACATACCCAGAACTTAATAATTTTTGATATTTCTACTACACAGGTCTAAGTGACCTGTCTTCTGGATGATTGCAGGGCACTCCCAACTGGTCTCTCTGCTTCAGACCTGTCCCTTCTAAGTTACTTTCCACATTGTACCTAGAGTGAGCCTTTTGCCCTCTGTCAGATCCTGTCACCCTCTGCTCAAAGTCCCATTGCGTGGATTCCTGCCTCACTCAGGGTAAAAACCAACTCTTCACTGTTTTTGAGAACTGACACTTAGTACAAACTCCCGTATGACCTCATCTCTTACTTCTCTTGCTGTTTGAACACACCAGAGCTTTTCCTGTCTCAGACCTTTGGTGTGACTGTTCTCTATGCCTTGAGTACCTTCCCTCCAGATTTCTGCATGTCTTGCGCTCTCTTCTCCCACAAGTCCTTCCTCAGATGTCACCTTATTAGTGAAGCGTGCCCCCTCGCCTCTGCTCGCACTCCCTGTTCCCCTAATCCTGCACCAATTGTCATTTGCCCCGTTGTCTGTTTATTGATTGGCTGTTTTCTTAGTGGAGTGTAAGCTCAGTGAGGGTGGGAGCTTTGTTTTGTTCACTGCTGTGTTCTCAGTTCTGAAAAGAGTGCCTGGTGTACAGTAAGCTCATGACAAGTAAATTGTTGAATGAATTGAATTTCAATTAGCTTCTGTAATAAATATTAATTCCCTTGGTCATTCGATCCCTCTGACTTTAAACTTGTAAGTCATAGAGTTTCTGCCCAGTTACCCTTGTTTCTAGTGCTCTTGCAGCCCTACTCAGACTTCACCATTCCATTATAAACAGTCTCCCCCGACACTTAACATCTTCTTAAGAGACCCCCTCTGTTTACATTTCTTCACCAATAACTGGTTTCCTTTTTGACCCATTTTCCCTACTCATAGGATTTTGGGAGGAAGTAGTGATGGTGCTAACATTCTCTTATCCATCTGGAGTTCTTGTGGGCTCCCAGCAGTAGGCCAATTTGATGCTTTTGACTCTTGGCTCCTTTTTGGTCACTGTCATCATTGTCCGTTGTCACTTTCCCACTCCACTTGTATTGGAAGAATACGAGGCTCATGGTCTTCCTCTCCATTCTCAGTTTGTCATTTCCTAGATGACATTTTACAGTGGCTGTTCACACCTAGATCTAAGGTCATTTTTAGTCATGTGGCCAACAATCCTTCTTCAGAAATCTATGCATAGGGGTGCTCCCTAGACTATCATCACTTTGAATTGTTTCATTTGAGAGTCTTCAAACTATTTTTACCCTGATTCATAGCTCTAGTAAGACTTTATTTCTGCACACTTGGTCTTTGACTATAATGAGATCTCCTGTTCTTTGACCCATCCTCTTTTACCTATCATCCCCATAAAATTAAATGGAATTTAATTTGAATTTAATATTTAAAAAGTTTCTCATTCAACTGCTGTTTATTTTGGTATGTGGTATATTTATTGAATGATTATTCCCCCCATATTGATTTGTGATGTTTCCTGTATGTAGAACCAAATTATATAAATTTTGTGTAATAGATGTTTCATTTATCTGTCAAGTTTTGGTGCCATCACACTCTTTAAATGTTATTGAAGCTTTATAGTGTGTTTGATATTTGGAAGGGATAGTAGCGTCTCATTGACTTTAGTTTTCAGAATTGTTGGTGTTGGTCTTGCTCTTTACACTACCATATGATTTTGAAAACAATTTGGTTAAGTTATGAAAAGAAGGATCTTCACTGGGCTTTTTTTTCTGCAATGATATTAAACACTGGGCTATTTGAGTTATTCATATAAGTTAGTATTTTATCAAAACTTTATATATTAGCAAAATATCTAAAATTTTTTACTTTTTTAATAGATCGAATCCTTCTTGCATATAAATACCAAAGATGTATCTTCTATAATTTATTAAAAAAATATGCCACAAATGTAAATGAACTGTTAATTTTTTTTTCCAGATATGTTTCCTTCTTTTTGCCATTCTCTACATTGTTTCCTACTTCATCATCACAAGATACAAGAGAAAATCAGGCAAGTAGAAACATTGTAGTTAAAACTTAGATCATCATGCCAGCTGGTCTGTGGTATATGGGCTATATACTGTGCCTGTCAGTATGGTAGTTTATATATTCAGTATGGCCATGATTGAAGGACACAATAGCCTGGTACTAAGAGTAAACAGTAACCTTCAGGGAATCTGACTGCTTGCAGGGTCGTCATTCTCTCAGACCTGAGCCCTTGTTTACTACTGTTCTTACGTCCAACCAAGAATAGTGTGGGACTGCTCAGTGTCTGGGAAATTCTAGAGTTTATAAGGATATATGGGTTCTTGTGACTGGCTCTGAGTTTGAACATGCATGCCCCATCCCATCTTTTCTCTGACTACTAGACTCTTTTCTTTCTCTAAAGTAATACAGAATTTAGAGTCTCCATGATACCATTTAGTATCAGTTTAGGATTCAATTGTATATTAGTATTTTTATTATTTCATATATATCCTGTCTACCAGAGGGACCACTAAATCTTTGTTCTTTTTTTATTTTTAAAAATTATTTTTATTTTTTATTCATATATTTTTTATTATTATGTTATGTTAATCACCATACATTACATCATTAGTTTTTGATGTAGTGTTCCATGATTCATTGTTTGCATATGACACCCAGTGCTCCATGCAGTATGTGCCCTCCTTAATACCCATCACCAGGCTAACCCACCCCCCACCCCCTCCCCTCTAGAACCCTCAGTTTGTTTCTCAGAGTCCATAGTCTCTCATGGTTCGTCTCCCCCTCTGAATCCCCCCCTTCATTTTTCCCTTCCTACGATCTTCTTCTTTTTTTTTTTTTTTAACATACAATGTATTATTTGTTTCAGAGGTACAGGTCTGTAATTCAACAGTCTTACACAATTCACAGCTCTCACCATAGCACATAGCCTCTCCAGTGTCTATCACCCAGCCACCCCATCCCTCCCACCCCCCACCACTCCAGCATTATTATTATTATTTTTAAAGATTTTATATTTTTGAGAGAGAGAGGCAGTGAATGTGCATGTGCATGAGCAGGGGGAGGAGCAGAGGGAGAGGGAGGGGGACAAGCAGAGCAGGGAGCCTGGTGTGGGGCTTGATCCCAGGACCCTGAGATCATGACCTGAGCTGAAGGCAGACGCTTAACTGAGCCACCCAGGCACCTGTTCTTTTTTTTTTTTAAGATTTTATTTATTTGTAGAGAGAGGGAGAGAGGGTGAGTACAAGCAGGGGGAGCGGCAGGCAGAGGGAGAAGCAGGCTCCCCACCGAGCAGGGAGCCTGATGTGAGACTTGATCCCAGAACCCTGGGATCATGACCTGAGCCGAAGGCACATTCTTATCTGACTGAGCCACCCACGCGTCCCATCCCCTATTCTTTTTTTAAAAATGAACTTTGTGCTAATTCATTCACAGATTTTTGTGCCAGGGTTTTGTAAGGACCTAAACAGTTGCCTTACTGCCTTCTGTTAAATCTCAGCTATTTTCTATAAATCACAGGATTTTCTACCTGTGATGCTGGGCTAATAGTAGGTACCATATGAATACTTAAGGATTCCATATATAGGGACTCTTTATGTTATAATATTTAAACTTGTTAGACTTTTCAAAGCAGTTAGTACATGCTTGCTCTCTAGTGTTTTAGTTTGGCTCTATGATTACACTAAAATACTTCTTAGAATCTATAATCTCTCAAAAATTTGAAGACCTGCAGATTCAACACAGTATCTTAGCTATTTTTAAAGTTGTTTTGGCATCAGGTTTTAATGATTATGGACATAGAAGGGGGGGAGAATTAATGAATATAAATGCATCATTTTTGGGGAAATTAGGGGATGAGGAGCAGGAAAATTGGAGATTTATTAGATGATTTTTAAGTATTTATTTATTTTGAGAGAGAGTGAACAGGGGTGGGGGGCAGAGACAGAGGAGGAGAGACAGCCCCAAGCAGACTCCCCTGACCCCTTCAGTCAGCCCGGAGCCTGATGCAGGGCCTGATCCATGATCCTGAGACATGACCCCAGTGGAAATCAAGACCTGGATACTCAACTGACTGAGCCACCTGGGCACCCCTATCAGATGATTTTTAAAGTAATGGCAGGGAGAGGTGATGAATACCCTGGACTTAGTAGAGTGTAGGGAGAAGAATTGAAATTTATATGAAGCTATTAAAACATTCTTCAGTAGTGGATGATTAATTGGGGGTGTGTACAACAGTATAAAAATTAATTGTGACTTATTTTATGGTCCTTTTGGCTGTAAAGCTATTTTGGGCAGCCCATAATTAAGAATGGAGATTGGAGTAAGAGAATGGCTCAAATACACCATTGACACGGAAGCAGGTGGACACTCATAATTACAGAGACTTAGAGAAGAGAGCCTTTGAGGACAACCCCAGTTAGGTATTGAGGAGAAGGAGGGTCCAGGGGGTGTTGTGCAATATTCTTGTAATTGGGTCAGACTTTCTTTAGCTGGTAAATTTATGTGGGAGGACAGAGAGAAGGCTAGCAGCCATGAGGGAGAGGTAGAGGGGGTGAGCGAGCATTGGGGCAGAGGGCATCTGCTACTTGTAAGAGATACAGAACTTGATACTTTCCAGTCTGTAACTTGAACAATAATTATGAAGTATTGAGGCAGTGGTATCTAAATGGTTTAGACTGGTCGAAGAGAATCTTCCTTACTACCATTAATAATGACAAACTCAAATCATAGAAAACTACATGAGTTTTAAGATTCTGACTTCTAATTTTATAGTAAAGATTTTTGTTGGATACTGTCAACTAAAAAATTTCATTCATTAGCAATTATAATTTTACTTGTATAACAATAAACTTGATAGTGGTCCTACGGTTCTACTAAGTTTTATTTTCTTGAGCAATAAATATTTGGAAAATTTCAATTTACATATGGTAGTTTTCTTAATCAGGATTTTGGTTCATCACAACACTCTTATCTAACTACATTCTATCTTACTGATTTAATGAGATTTAAATTTCTATCCGTGTTGAAATAAATACAGTGCGTTTTGAAAATCAATTCTTTTCAAAATAACTACTTAAGTTTCTATTTTTTTTATATTTTCTAATAAATTAATGAAACATTTTATTGAAGATAAAAAAATTAATACCTTAACCATTTTTACAGATGAACAAGAAGACGAAGATGCCATAGTCAACAGGATTTCGTATGTATTTTAAAATTCATTTGTTCTGTTTCTAATTTTGATGTCATAAATTCTTCAAATTTAATTCGCACCTTTGGGCATAAATGTGGAAAAAATTCGCCTGAAGTATTACAATGCTTTTATTGATATTAACCCTATCCTTAGAAACACATACAAACAAACACCCAGTTGACTCTTGAACACCGTGGGGGTTAGGAACGCTGGCCCTGTGCAGTTGGAAATTGTGTATAATTTTTGACTTATCCAAAACTTAACTACTAATAGCCTACTATTGACTGGAAGTCTTACTGATAACATAAACAGTTGATTAACACATATTTTATATGTTATATGTATTATATACTGTATTCTCACAATAAAGTAGCTAGAGGAAAGAAAACGCTATTAAGAAAATCACAAGGGAGAGAAAATACATTTATATTACTGTACTATATTTATTAAAAAAAATTCACTTATATGTGGACCTGTGCATTTCTAAGCCATATTGTTCAAGGATCAACTGTACATGGAAAAATGAGGATTGATTGTCTCCTCTTAAAATTTGCTTGTTTGAGGAGCTGACAATTTTACCTTCAGAGGTTTTAACCAGGAAGGGGGCTATGGTTGGGAAAGTTGCTGGGCCATAAGAAAGAAAACTCTTGGCTGTTTAATGGTCTGCTGAGAAGACTGACACTCTTGGAATAGGGAACAGACGTCTCTTCTAGTTAATTGAACATCTACCTGCTGTGAGCAGGGAGACGGACTCAGATGGTTCTTTAGGTTCCCGATAGCTCTCTTTCTGCTTATATATGCTGATATATGATTGATGTACCCTTTAATTTTTTTTTTTTTTTGAGGTATCAAATGGATGGGAAGCAGTGAGTTTCTTTCTATCAGATTTTGCTTGGCTAAAATTTGAAATCATACAGATATAACTACATTGGAGAGATTCTTATTCCAGGATTCTTTTATTTTGATTCTTGAAAAATTTTTGGCATAGTCCTGAATTTAGAGAAAAGTCAGAAATATAACAAAAAAGAGCGTTTTTGCCCCAGAACTGTTTGAGAAGTTGCTGACCTGGTTCTCCATTTCCTCAGGATACTTTTGTATATAATGCCTATAAACAGTACATTCTCCTGTGTATCTACCATATAAACATCAAGATAATGAAACTGATGCTGTACCACTCCTGCCCCATTCAGATTTACCAGTTGTCCCATTCATGTCCTTTGTTGCAAAAAAGATCCCATTCAGAATCACACACTGCTCGTAGTTGTCATGTCCCTTTAGTTGCCTTCAGACTGAAACCCTTCTTCAGTATTTTCTTGACTTCCCTAACCTTGATACTTCTGAAGATTACAGGCCAGTTATTTGGATTTGTTTCTTCACGATTAGTATCAGATTATTCATCTTTTGCCTGGGGTGGGGTGGAGGTGTGGGAAAGGGGGAAAGGCTGTCTGCACTTATGCACCCATTCACGGATACTCTCACGTACCCTGGGATATTACTCAGCCATAAAAAGGGATGAGGTACTGACACATACTACAACATGTAGGAACCTTGAAAACATCATGCTAAGTGAAAGAAGCCAGACATGAAAGGCCATGTAGTGTATGATTCCATTTATGAGAAATATCCAGAATAGGTAAATCCATCAATCAATGTCATATTGATGGTTACCAGGGACTGAGGAGAGGGCAGAATGGGGAGCAACTGCTTAATGAATACAAGGTTTTATTTTGGGGTGATGAAATGTTCTGGAACTCGAAAGTGGTGGTGTTTGCACAACAGGCCAGAACACATCACTTAGACTTTACCTTGCAGTGTATTCTATGAAACGGTGGCTGTGCCTTGTTTCCTTGTGAGGAGGCTCAGGAGCCCTGACCTCCCCTTCTGCTTTCATCAGTTCTGCTGCCGTCACTGTTGCGGCGGGTCTGAGGCCTTTGGGTTATCCTGGCAGGTGGTTCCTGCATCATGTGACTGGAGTTGACATCCCTCTCCTGCAGGCAGATGGGTATACTTACAATAAAGACAGGAGAGGGAGCAGGGAGGTGGGGGGAGGGCACCTGAGAGAATCAGGGCTAGTCTGTTCCCTCCCCACTCCCCCAGTGATCCCTTTGGCTTTCACTGCCTTTTTTCCCCCTTGTGTGATAGAATGAGTGAGAATGGAAGAGGAAGGTAGATCTGGGTTCAAATTCCAAACTCAAGATTAACTTGAGATCAGAAGAGCTTGAGAAACAAAGATTTGTTTTCTCCGTATGTGAAGGAGAGCTGCCACTTACTCTGTCGTGCTGTTTTGTGGATTAAATCACATCTGCAAAATAATCCAGGATTGGTGCTGGTGTACAGTACGTGGGAATTTGGGGTTGCCTCCCTTCTCTCCACCATCTTTCCTTGCCTTGCCCCCTCCACCGAAGAGGAGGAAATAGAAGGAGAGTCCTGCTGAACAAGGAGAAAAAAGAGGAAGAGCTCAGATAAGTTCTTAAGTGTAATGATTGGCAGCACTACCTGGCTACTTGAAACAAGGATCTCCACAGCTGGCTTAGCACCCATGTCAAAATGGAAAGCCTGTTCCTTGGCTGTTCTCACCTCCCGTTAGACCCACGTTTGCTTTCTCTTTTGCTCCTTTTTTCTTTTCTCTGTTTGTATCTGCTTGTGCCCCCAAATTAACTTTGCAACCAAAAACTACATTTTATGAGAGCTACTGTTGGCTAGGTAGTTGATTTGATTTGGATTTAAGTTATTGATATAAAAATGGAATGCTTTTGGGAGCCCTTGCAGGTGAGAGGAGAGTCTCCATTGCAGGAGGTAGGCCTGGCATGAGGTGTCAGAGCCCGGGGGTGACCTGGTGTGGGCTCTCAGGGTCCAAGAGCAGGGAGGGAATTTTCCCTCCTTGGTGGAGTGTCAGCTTGAGGGGTGATGAGGGGCACCCGCATGTGTTCAGGGGTGCTCTGTTACAGGGAGTCACAGGTTGGGGAGGGCATCCAGGCAGGATGACAGAGCCCAAGTAGGCTGAGGAGGGTGTCCCCAGAGGGATGGCCTGGCATAGGTATCAGAGGTCAGTGGGGAGGGAGGTAGGACAGTCCAGAATGGGGAGTCACCTGAGCAGGAGGGCGCCTCTGCATAGGGTGGGATGTCAGATCATTTCCAGGAGATTGGTCCATTAAAGGTGATGGGAGCCATTTTGCAGTTAGGGGAAAGGGAGAAAAATGAAAATGAACAGGGTTGTTGCATTGCAGTTGGACTTGCAAGTGAACTATCAGTGTGGACTCATGGTTTTCAATACAGAGTTATTGCACCAGATCTAGATGTAAAGGTGGGTGCATGTAAGTGTGTATATGTACATGTATGCATAGTGCATACTTGCATTCCTTGCCTGTCCATTGGGAGCATGACATCCCGGGAGCAGGGAGTATATTTAGCACTAGACCTGTGCTTCTAAATACAACTTTCCACTAATAGGAACCAGGGCTCCTTGGGGGAGAAACTGACTGCAGGGGTAGGAGAGGGGAAGTTCCAGGCTCATGTTGTACATACGGTACTGCCAGAATACAAGGAAGTGCTCCAAGAACGATGGGGTGCAAGTCTAAAAGACCCAGAAGCCTTCAAGGGCTTTCACATCAATCAGGGACAGTCTGAGTGTCCAGAGAGTGATTGTAATGGATCCTACACAGAATAAAATAGAATAATCTTGAGTCCATACTGATAGGAATCAGTAAATGAATAAACTTTTTGGCAAGGAACAGGGTATTTTTCCTAGTTTCAAACTTAGCTTCCCACAAAATACTAATTAAAAGTGGAAAAGAGTGATGTTAGAGTCAGAGAGACCTGGCAAACACCATCCTGCCCAGTGGTCAGTCAGAACGTAACCAGCAATGGGGCAGACAGAAGTTCTAGGCCACCTAGTAGCCTGCAGAGAGAAGTGTGAAGCATTGCCTCTGTGATGCTCGTGGACATGACAGACGAGGCTGGGCCAAAGCTGAGTTCCATATTTCCCCGCCGGCCTGCTCCAGCTGCGGCCTTCTCCATCACAGGCGATACCAGCTCTACCATTCCCATTCTCAGGCTAAAAACTCAGAGTCAGCCTTGAGCCCTCTCTGCCCCCACCCCCAGGAAGTCCTGTGGGTTCTGTCCTCAGAATCTGCTCCATTTCAGAAGGTGACGTTTGTGAAACGGTACTTTAATCTGAGGGGCACTTCAATAGGTCTGTAAGCTATGACCACTACTGCTCTTTTTCGACCTGGCCTTACCTTAGGGACCCCTTGCCAGCATTGACCTGCACTGCATTGACCTTTTCCGAGTAGCTCTCGTCCTCGGTGCTCACAGGCAGGGTGAGAGGGTGGCAGCGACCTGTCTATATCCAGAGCCCAGTCACAGTACCTGCAATGCAGTAGATTCTGCAAGTGTTTGTTGAGAGTTGGCATTATAGTTAGGCTTTTCTGGATCATTCATGATTTCAAATACTTTACCTATTTGCCCTCATAAGCTTAGTTTTTTGTCAGATTACAGGTCCCGGTTTTTGATGTGGAAACTCTGGTTGGTCTTCCTGCTGGTTATGTGGTCAGTGTCATGTGAGCTGAGAGGAGAGGGATTGACTCTTGAGAGGAGTGTGGAGAGTGGTGCTGAGGCTGCTTCACAGGGCAAATGACATAAAGGGACCCTAGGGACAGAGCTGACTGTGCCCCAGAGCACAGAGCCATGAAACGCATTGAGGTTTGGTGTACAAGAAGGCTGGGTACATCACACTGTATGTGGGAGTCTGTCGTGGCAAGAGGAGCCTAACACACATACTGGAATAGCTGTGCAGGACCTGGAATGGTGAACTTGTGGATTTGATCCTATTTTTAGCATTGGAAGGAAGCAGTGGTAGTGATTGGGATAACTTCCTCACTTGACTTGCAAGGACAGAACAGAGAAGCACGCTTCAGGCCACTGGCCGGTAGTTGCCAGAGTTGGCGGTGGACCTGGGTGGACATTTTTCCTAGTGCTTTTCCCAGGAAACGTGCCCGCTCAGCAAAACAGCTTCTAAGCCTTCTTCTGTGTCTGATTTGGTATTTTTGGTATGTATGATATGGTCTACATTTAAGCATTATCAATGATTTACTGAACAGAGGTTTCATGGTTGTTTTGGCTTTTAAGTAGGAAAACATTTCTGTTGGTTGCCACAAGATGGCATTGGTCTCAAAGTTACTCTAGTGGATGTGTATTTCAAGTGTTTATTGTGTTGTTTTTTTTTTTCTTTCTTATGTGTTACATTTATTTTCACATTCTTCCCATATTGACTTTAATGGGATGGATATTAAATTAAGATTCCATCTCTAATGTTGGTGAGGTTTTCTTTTCCTTTGCCTTTTTAGTCTTAAAAAAATCTTTTAAAAAATTAGATACAAAATTTTAAACATTGCAGACATATATAACTGAGAAAGTGAAAGCCCCTTAGAATTCCACTCTCCTGTGGGTTTGTTATATATTATGCTAGGTTTTTTTTTTGTGTGTGTGTGTACCTCTATTTTCCTGTGTGTATAAATGCATTTTTTTTTGGAGGGGGGAGCATGTTTTCTATTTATTGTCCGTGCCTTTTCAGTTTTTTTAACTTAATTTATCTTAGACATTTCTCTGTATCAGTATTTATTAGCAATATCTTATTTTTAAAAATGACAAAATAGTGTTTTAAATACTGTTTAATAGTAGAATATTGTTTAATAGTTCTCTACTGTTTCCTAGTATAATTTATTTTGCCTTTACCTGTTTTAAGAGGTAGCTGAGCAATGGCTTTGTTAAGTTTTTTTTTCTCTTGAAATAACCATTTTGAATTGATTTCTTTTTCATACTGTTTTCACAAGTTTTTTTTTTTGTTTTTTTCACCTGAATCAGTTTTTGCATTGCTGTTAGGATGTATTTGCCAAAGTAGTTAATTAAATGCAATTGTGAAATAAATATTTAAATTTAAAAGAGGAAAGAGACTATGGCTTATTCTTTGTAAAATGTGCAAAGTACTCTGTCTTCTGTATGTGATTCTTCTAGGACCTGCTTGTTCAAGTTAATGACCTTTTTCACAGAGTGAGGAGTTTTAGAGTATACCTAATTGAACTTCTAGTATCATATATATATCATTTGTCTCCCAACTGCACATATTTAATGAAAATCTTATGTAACTTTTTTGGATTAAAAGATTTAAGAGTTTTTATCCTTTTTGAATTCCTACCGTATTCCTTGCTTTTTCCAATTGCTGGTGACAATGATCTCTTCTCTTCCAGGTTGTTTTTGAGCACGTTCACTCTGGCAGTTTCAGCTGGGGCTGTTTTGCTTTTACCCTTTTCAATAATCAGCAATGAAATCCTGCTTTCTTTTCCTCAAAACTACTATATTCAATGGCTAAATGGCTCCCTGATTCATGGTTAGTATATACTGCTCAATATAATCACAGTGAATGTTTTTGTTTTTTACTGCACTGTATTTTTAGATTTGCCTTTTCTTAATTTCCTTCATAATTTGCATCTTCCTCCAATAAACCATGAGTCCTTCATAAAATCAGAAAACCAGATTTTACTTACTATTCCTATTCTTAGTTGTGAAAGGCTTTTCTGTTTTACTTAATCAAGAAGCAGTCTTTATACTTAATGATTTTGATAAATAGGTTCTCATTTAAATATTTAGCAAGAGAATTTTGGTTTATCTGGATATGTCAAAAGAACTCAGCCTCCATTTAAGACCTAAAAATACTAGCCATAGTTTTCTACTTAATTTATTTTCTGTTACTTTTGTTATTTAAGAATGTATAATTGAAGGGGAAAAAAACTCTTCTGTCAAGTACAAACTTTAGAATTAATGTGGTTAAAAAAGTGACTTACTTACTGTGGGCAACATGGTATATTGCTTTGGAGGCCAGTTAGACCTGCATTCCAATCTTGACTCTGCCATTTTCTAGAAATTTTTAGTGAGGTGTACGACATTTTAATTTTAATTTATGAAATATATTACAAGATCTAATACATAGATCTTTTTTATATGTTCCATTGTCCTTCCCCCTTTTATTCTTTTTGAATTGTGGTATCTTTATATGGAAAACACATCAGCTTTTTATTACATTTTTAAAAATATGTTCTAGTTATTTTTCTTTTTAACTTTATTTGCTTTTTTATTGACAGAATTTTTAACATTTGTATATTGTCCAGTGTCCAGTCTTTTTTCTTCCTTTGGTTTCTCTAATTGTTTTGTGTTTAGAAGATCCTTTCCCTTCCTGATATGTGACAAATACTCTCTTTTTCCCCCTCATTTTCTAAAGATGATTTTTTTGTGTGCATAACTCTTTTTAATTCATCTGGAATTTATACAGACAGCTACCTTTTTTCTCCTTTGTGTTTAAAGAAATACTACGTTTGCTGTAGAATATTTGGAAAACAATATATGGTGAAGAAAATTAATGTTACCCACAATCCTACAACCCACAGAGCTATTGTGAATACCGTGTAATCTTCAGTAAGGTGTCTTCCTGTGAACGCATAACCAGATGGAAACCTTCAGGGACTCACTGATGATTTATGTTTTCCTAAATCAACATATAAATGGGAGGTTTCCATGCCATTAACTACTTTTCTGTGCAATTTATAGTAGTGCCTGGAGCTGTTGTTATAAGCATGGATTGTTCCCAATTTTTTTTTTAACTAAAAAAGTTCCAGTGTACATCTTTACAAATATTTGTCCTTAGGATAAATTTCTGCAATTCACTTTCCAGGTAAGCACACTTTAAAAGTTTAGAGAAGATGTTTCCTGATTCCGAAAAGCTGTGTGAATTCCACTAGTGGTTTCACTTTTGCTGAGGGCATCCTCTTCCCAGAATGCATCTTCGTCAACTGTGGGTGGTACTTAAAACCTGCCAATTCAAGGAGTGCTTGGGTGGCACAGTCAGTTAAGTGTCCAACTCTTGGTTTCTGCTCAGGGTCATGAGATTGAGTCCTGCATCGGGTTCCGTGCTCAGTGCAGTCTACTTGGATTCTCTCTCTCTGCCCGCCACCCCACCCCCGCAATAAAATCTTAAAAAAAAAAAAAAGTTCCAGTTCAGAAACATGAAGCATCTCCCCTCTTAAATGTACATTTCTTTAATTACTAGTAAGGATAGACATTTACAAAACATACTCAGAGGTCATTCATAGTTATTTTTTAGTAAATTGCCTACCTATGTTTCCTTTGCCCATTTTTACAGTGTTTCCCCCTCCTTTTTTTTTTTAATTAAATTTTTAATTCCTGTTAGTTAACATGCAGTGTAATATTAGTTTCAGGTGTACAGTGCAGTCATTCAACACTCCATACACCACCCGGTGCTCATCACAAGTGCTCTCCTTAATCCCCATCACCTATTTCATTCATCCCCCAACCACTCCCTCCCCTCTGGTAACCATCAGTTTGTTCTCTACAGTGAAGAGTCTGTTTCCTGGCTTGCCCCTCTCTCTTTTGTCTGTTTGCTCGTTTGTTTTGTTTCTTAAATTCCACATATGAGGGAAATCATAGGGTATTTGTCTTTCTTTGACTGACTTATTTCTCCTGCATTATACTCTCACTCCATCCATGTTGTTGCAAATGGCAAGATTTCATTCCTTTTTACACTTGCAGTGTTTTTTTTTTAAGTAATTAGTTGTCTATCAGAGGTTAATTGAAAACATTTTCCTCCCATTTGTCCTTTAATACTGCTTAAACTGTTTTTTGACATGAAAAATTTTAACATTTTAGTTTAATCATATATTTGAATCTGGCCTTTGTGGTTTCTGTCATGCTTGAAAGTAGAAACAAATGGAGTCATGATGCTCTGAAGACCAAATGAATTCAGTAAAATTAGGACTAATTATTAACTGAATAAAAAGAAATTACTCCATTTTTTTTGCTTAGCAATTGAAAAAAACTGAATAAGCAAACTGAAATTGATACAAAAAATAAATCCTCTACTGAAAAGTTAGCTGTTATTATGAAAGGCAGGAGACAACCTGGAAAGTAATGGCTATGACTGTTTTGGTGAGTTATTTTTAGATGACATGTTATTTGTTATTAAAAAATACTTGGATAATATATAATTTAGAAAATGGTTTTTACATGTATTGTCTAAAATGTTTGAGGAAGACTGTTTGGCATGGTTCCCCTTGGCCCTAGCTTCCTGTAAAGCGATAGGTACTATAGCATATACATTTTGCAGGATTGGGCTCCAGGTGTTCTTACCAGCAGAGCAGGTGGTCTCAAGCTGGGCTAACCAGTATGACAGGTGAACTGGACTTTGTTTCCAGTTTTACTGAGTAGAAATTGCATGCTATACTTAGTGACCTTCACATACTCTAAATCAAGGCTATTTCTTTTATTCTGTTTATGGCCTGTTAAGTAAGAGCTACTAACACATGACATGCCATATATTTGGAGGCCTTAACTCTGGAAGTAAATATATTTGTTTTATTGGTAGTCTTTCTCATTATAATGTAAGGTGTGTAAACTCAAATATTTTGTTTATAAATTAGGGCTTAGAACAGTGATTCCCACATAGTGATTGCCTAATAAACCTGTTGAATGAATATGTGATAGACAATAATTTTGAACTCCAATAAAGCACATCATCTGAAAGTTGGGGAACTAGAGGAAGAACCTTCTAAATGATGTCACTGCTTCTAAATGTACTCTTAGGAATAGGTTTCAGGAGGCCTGGGATGTAAGCCCTGGAAATTTTCCTTGAGGGTTTTATGACCCCTGGCTTTGTTTCTGCTAAATCTTTGGTAGGTCTGTATCCTTTGCTGCATGTAGTGAATTTCATAAATCTTTAAATTCATCTTTCTCTTCTAAATTCATAGCTTTCTTTAACCTTATCGATGACATTCGAGGTAGTGCTTATTATTAGTCCCTTAGATTGTCTTGGGGTTGAAGATTTGTCAACCTTAGACATACTTGCTTCTTAGCTTTTAAAAAATCATTAATGGGGCCAAATTATGGTAATACTAAGACATGCCCTGAGGCATGTTCTGTGTTCTAGACATGCTCTTCCTCACTTCCAATTTGGAGGAGGCGTCCAGGTTCCCCTTCGTGGTCAGAACTCCCTTCCTTGCTGGTTGATTGAGAGGCATGAGGACTGCAAAGTGCTGGACAGCAGTCTGAACTTCCATTTCAGTGGAATCGTTGTGTCTCGTGGTGGAAACGTTCCTCCCTTTGGAGCTGGAACTCTAGTCTAGCAGCACTGGTTCCTAAGGTTATAGGAACAGGAGACAGAAAGTTTGCTAGTGGGTCAGGATGGATAATAGTGAGTGCTACCACTCCCGATTCTACTCCTTGATTCTACCTGTGAACCCCGGCTATGGGAGAAATACCACCATATATTGAATACAGATTCAGGGGGAATACGACCTCCTAGAGTACCTTTCTTCAGCCCTGCGAGGTATTGCCAGCTAGCTGGCACCGTAACTGAGTCTTCAGAAGGACATTCCACCATTCTATCAAACCAGCTGCTTCAGGATCGTGGGAAGCATGCATGACCAGTGAATTCCGAGGGCATGGGCCCATTGTTGTTCTTCTGCTATGAGGTATTTCCTAGATCAGGAGCGCTGCTGTGATGATGGTGGGCAAGGCATTCTGAAAGTCCACAGATAATAGTTTTGGCAGCAGCTTTGCGTTCAAGGCAAATCTGTACCCAGAGTAAGTGTCTGTTCCAATAAGGACAAAATGCTGCCCTCTCCATGATGGGAGTGGCCCATTTCAGTGAACCCACCACCAGGTAGCTAGCTAATCTCCCCTGGGAGTGGTGCCATATTGAGGTCTCAGTGTTGGTTTTTGCTGCTGGCGATTAGGCATGCAGGTGGTAGCCATAGCCAGGTGAGTCTGATGAGTAGGCATGCACCTTGCTGAGCCCGTGCATAATCTCTACCCTGCCATCATGGCCACTTTGCGTATGAGCCCATTGGATCATGACGAGTGGCGGGGAAAGAGGCTGACTGTGGTATCTGCGGAACAGGTAGTCCTGTCCACTTGATTATTAAACTCCTCCTTTGCCAGGGTCCCCTTTTGATGAGCAGTCACATGGGACATGAATATCTTTGCATTTTTTTTTCCCATTCAGAGAGTACTATCTGTACTACCTCTGCCCCAAATTTCCTTGTTACCAGTTTTCTAATCATGTTTCTTCCTGACCTTCTAGCCAAATCACTGGACACAACCCGTGAATTTATAATTACATGTCTGGTCATTTCTCCTCCCAGGCAAAGTGAACAGCCAGGGGCATTGGGAGGATTTCCCTTCACTGCTGTCTCAGAGGGCTCTAGTGCTGCAGCTGTCCACTCTGGGTGGTGGTGTGCAGAACCATCTGTAAACCAGGCCTGAGTCTTTTCTTCGCTCTGTCAGCAGATTGTAGGGAACTCCCTATGAGGCCCTACGTGC